TGGGAGGTCGATCCACGGAACGTGGAACTCGGAAAATTTAGTGTTGTTTCACCACTAACGTTGATGTTTTGTTCAGATGGGGTGGTGCTTAACCTGCGAGTTGGTACGCCCATCTTTTTTCATGTACAAGTGAATGTTTAAGTGTTCAAACCGTCTGCGTACGGGACTCAGTTATGTATAATCGATCGTTGAGTGCTTGCTCGTCTGCGCACAGGGGCGCGGTTGATTACCGTGATATGTACATAGTGTGTTGGTTGTCAAATCGATTCCAAAGTTCGATCATCAGCGTGATTCAAAATACTTGCAACTCTCAAGACTCGGCAACAACGATCGAAGCGGGCGAATGCCAACGACCACAATGTCGCTAAAACTTGCCCGATAAAACCGGGATCCATTATCTGGTTATAACCGATGAGGGTAAAGGCCCCGTTCGGCACCGACCGATAGGGGTTAAAACCCAACGACTTTAAAAGTCACTCACATTTCCCCCGAGCAGTTCACAATACTCGACAGATAAGTCTCATGTTTGGCGAACAGTCGTACTACGACGTCGATCGGATAAGAAATGTCAAGCGGTATGAACCCGATCGATCCTAATGCTAACTAACCTTTTAACCACTGTCGCACTCACTCGTCCCTCGTATGTCCGGCAGTGTGGGGGCTAGGGGTAAGGATCAAGTCTGAACACGCGTAATGAATAAGCATATAATATTAAGTTTGAACACGCGTAACGAGCAAGCATAAAATGCTAAGTTTAAACAAGCATAGCGAACAAGTATAAAATGTCAAAACGAGACAAAAGCGTAAAAATGTGAAAAATAGAAGAGCGATATGCAATGAACAATCGGTAGATCCATTAAAAAATTAAAAGTTGCCCGGTACAAACGGGACCGGGCTCTCGATCGAGTTAAGATTACAAGAATTAAAAAAAGAAGCAAGGCCCTAGGGTCGGTCGGTCGTCAATCACACAGCCTTCCCTCCAGCTTGTTCTCCCGCAGCTGGCTCAACTTCAGATCCTGACGCCGATGACTCGGGGATCTCATCCGGAAGAGTGGTCAACACCGCCTTCAGATCCTCACCCTCAAAGACCTCCTCCATTATAGTTCGGGTCTCGTCCCGCATCGCCTGTTGACCGGACGCGTAGGCCCAATGGCCGAAGGTCCAGACCTTTTCTTCCCCGAGCTTGTTCTTCATGAGGGCTCTGAAGAACTTGTCAGCTGAGGGCTCGTCACGGCATAAGAACTTGGCCAGGCCATCCAGGTTGCCCAGTCGGGTCTTCAGCTTGCCCACTTCTGTTCGGGCGATACGCGCCTCCTTCTCGACTGGAGCTTGAGCCTCCTTAGCGGTTTTTAGTTCCTTCTGAAGGTCCGCGATTTCCTTGCCACGGCGCTCGGCGACTCGCTTCAAGGCCTCGGCTTCATTGGCCAGCAACGCCCGATATTGAAGGCCGAGAGTGCTCGCGAGGCCTGCAAGAAAATGATGTTAAGCTAATCGATCGGCTCGAAAATGGTCGAAAGTTAAAAGATAGTCTTAACAAACCTCAACTAAGTCTCGTGCCCCTTTTTCAGCCATCTGGGTCGGCGTCCAGCCAGTCATGTCCTCCCCGATCGGTTGGAGATTGTTGATCCTCGTGAGGAGGGACAACTCCCCGCCCGTCTGTCCGTCGCTCGGGACGACTTCGGTCGGGGGGCTTTGCCTTCGACGACGTTTAAGAGAGCCCGCCTCTTCTGCGCCCTTCCCAGACGCTTTCTCTTTTCCCTTCCGTCCGGGAGCTCGGGGGGCCAACGGGTCGGCCGCGGCGTCTGCGAGCAAAACCCCCTCGGAGGTGGTCGTGGAAGCGGCCAAGGGACGCGCAACCGGGACGGAGGCTTCACCGACCTCTTGACCGGCCGGTGGAGTAGTGGCAGTTGCCTTTCCCCAAAGCGTCAGTTTGGCTCGTGGAGCTCGAGGAGCGCTGGCGGTCAAAAAACCACGAGCTGGATCCATTCCTGCAACAAAAAATAACACACAACATTAGTTCATGGTTAGTCGGTGTAAAAAGGCCGAGGAAGTGTAACGGGAGGTAGACCTTCGACGGTCGGCTCGGCTTGAGGGGCCGCTACGGCGATCGACACCGAAAGCGGTCGTGGCGTGTACTTCAGTTCTAATTCATATCGGGGAGGCGGAAATCGGGCGTTCTCGTACGCCTCTCTCGATCGAAAGATCTTGTACTCGTGAAACTCGCATGAAATGCGGAAGGTTTCTTCTCGAAGGGCTCGGGTGGCTGGTGATTGTACGTGTTTCCTGTAATGTGTCCCCCACGTTTGGTCGACCGGCAGGATCCAAGGGTCGTATTCGACCGAAAAGATTCTGTTCTTCCATCCTCGGTTGTTTCCGGGAAGGTTGGCGATCGAGCATAGGTGGTCCCGGGATTGAATCATCAGGTATCCACCACCGTATAGGGCTGGCAATGGTTTAACTATGTAAATATAGTTGAAGAGCTCCATCGTACACATGGTATTGTGCCGAGCACATATATGCGGGAAGCATGCCAGTATCCGATGGGCGTTTGGGCAGATCTGGGTCGGCAGCACCCTGTAGTAGCCCAAGAACTCGGTCAAGAGGGGGGAAAAGGGGAAGGTGATCGGGGCTCTTAAGGAGTCGAAGTGCATCCCGATCCATTTCCCCTGGTGCCGTTCTTTAATTCCCCTGAGGCTCCTGCAGGTATCGAACCTCACCCTACCGTTTAGTGTGGTCGAGATTTCCGCCGCCTCGTGGGCCGACAGTAAGCATTCTTGCTGCTCAACGCTTTCACTATTGAGGAAGACGAATTCGATCTCTTCAGGCGCCGAGTGGGATGGCCCTTCGTCGGCCGTATCGTGCGAAGCTTCTTGAATGCGGGGCGATGCGTGAGATTCAGAACCTGACCCGATCGTCCGAGTGGGTGTTTCCCGATCGTGATCGGGCGAGAACTCACGGTCGCTGGTAGATGCGCTGTCGCTGTCGTCGCTGCTGCTGCTCGAGCTCGACGAGCCTTCCGAGCTCGAAGAGTTGTCTTCTGGCTCGGGAACCGCGCTTGGTCGTTGAGCGTCGTTAGTAACCTCGAGCGGAGACTCTTCTACCATTGTTTCTTCGCCACCGCTCTCGATCGTGATGTCGTAGTCCGCCCCCGAGATGTTTTGACTATCTGAGCCTGGCATATCCTCTTCATAAAGGAGACGGTCGGTTCAGCAGAAGGGGTCGGGGTATAGTAAACCGAGGTTATCGGGTCGACGGGGACGAGCGTTATACAGGAAATAAAAGAAACTTAAACGAAGGAAGGAAGAAAGGACTTACCGATGGATAAAACTGGGGAAACGGTTGGGGAGATGCAGAGTCCGATTGATCTACAGTGTTGATGGCTCGGGAAACTCCGACTAATTTCCACGGTGTGGTAAAAGTAGAAATGAACTTTGCAATGGCCTATTTATAGGAACCCTTTTGGCAGTAAAATCAGCCACTTGCGCGAGGTGACCGTTCCGAATCTCAAGATGCCTGCGGAGCGACACGTGTCTTGGGCGAGGGCAGCTGGGAGGTCGGGGCCAGATGCCCGAATGACAAGGCCTTTCCATCCCGTACAGATTTCTCCCGGACGGCTCGAAATGGCCCGGGCTGGGAGGCTCTTGGTAGGATATATCCCGACTGACCTAGCTTGTTCTCCGCACCATTCAGTACAGTTCCTTTGCCCGAGCGCTACAGCGCGAAGGAGGTCGGTACCGGTCGTCCATATAACCTTGTGTTGACCGTTTTACTTAGAGGCATTCGAGTTCGCCTGGTTGATTCACCTCCCGACCGGTGTTCTACTCGACCGCCATACCTTTATTCCCCATGGAAGCGGTATTGCTAGAGAGGGGCACGTGGCAGCACCAGGCGTTGACAGCGAGTGACCACCAGGTTTCGGCACATGGATGTTGCGTGGAGTACTTGCCGATAGGCCGGAGGCTGTTCCCGACAATGGGCTATAAATATCCACGACGGATAAGGCGAGAGCACTTTTGGAACGATCAAGAGGCTACTTACAGAGCAGCCCGACCGCAGTCAGTCCGACCCTCGGAGTAGTCATTAGATTGTATTAGGTCACCCGTGTATTTACACTATCAAATCTCATAAAAGAAAATTCATAATTTCATAACTGCACATTCATAAATCCATGCCTGCACATTCATAATTTATGAGTGTTGAAGAAACTTGCGTGAAGAGGAAGTGAAACCGCAAAATGTGAATATGAAGAAGAAAAGTCGCGCTGTTAATTAAAAAAAAAAAAGATTGGTGGAAGATAACGGTGGCCGTAGGCACCGTTACCGTTTGGGACCGTGTTCACCATGGATGGTGAACACAGTTCCATGGCATAATGATTGCTCTAGGTCACCTGTCCCACCCAAAAGAGGTACCTACAATTTAGGGAGGGGATTAATCACTGTGTCTGACGGTGAAAACTCTGGGTACACTCAAAAAAAATAAAAAATTAAAGTGATTGATAGCTATAGATTGACGTGCATTATATCATGAAAACATAAACATTGTATAACTTCTTCTTTTTTTATTTTTTGTTTTTTAAAGTGATCCCAGTTTTGTCGAACTAATCTAAAATCCACAGGACCCCGCCCCTAAAGTCACTGTAGAGGTAAATCCCGAGTCTTATTCTTCATTTGCACACAAGGAATCCAATCCCGAACGCGTAATCAGCCCACCAGGCCAGTCAGATCCTACTTTTCATGTGCACAGTGCACACAAGGGTTCCAATCTAAACCTTTTATCATCTGTGGGCTTTGGGCTGAATTTGAACCCATACACCGCCCCTGGGGCAACATTATTTAACTTTTCAATTGTTATTGCCTGGACCATGGTCCAGCCAAGTTGGGTGGACCATGGCCCAAAACGCGCCGTCTCTCCACTTAAGGAGAGACGGCGCCGTTAGATGCGCGAAAAACGTCGCGCATCTTTTTTTTTTTTTAATATAAAATCTGCTTCTCTCACCTCTCGGACGCTATCTTTTCCTCTCCGAACACCTATCTCCGCTACTGCAAACACAGAGGAAGACGATGGTCAGACTTCATTGCTGCACAATACAGGAGCTTCTTGAAGGTAAACATCTCATTCTAAACATACATTGCGATTAGGAATTCAAACAACACTGATAAAGTATATTTTCAACTATACGCTATTTTGATATATATTGTGTTTTTTATATATTGTAGGAGATGTTAATGCTTTGATTGATGTTGAATTGAGTTCTCCCATTGATGTTGAATCAATTTCAGGTTTGTCTTTTGCAATACTTTGATCTATTGTGTCTATGGTTTGTTTAATTGGTTGGATACGGATAAATTATTTCTGTTCAGTAGGTACATTATTTATATGCATTACGTACATTATTTTAATCCATAGGGCACATTATTTTAATGCATGATTTATGTGTACTTTCTGATATGAATATTGTGTTTCTGATTGTGATACATTCTTTATGTTCGGTAGGTACATTATTTTAATACATACGGTACATTATTTTAATGTATCATTTCTGTGTGCATTCTGATTTAAAAGTTGTGTTTCTGATTAAGGTACATTATTTATGTGCATTAGGTACATTATTTTAATCCATAGGGTACATTATGTTTATGCATGATTTATCTGTACATTTTGTTGTGCGGAAATTTAAAAATATTGTTCATTGTTTATATGTTGTTTTAGAGCAGGTTATTAGTAAATTATTCAAGCAGAGATTTAGGGATTATTACTCGTTTCTCTAAAGCCTTAGCACATTCGGGACGAGAAAGTGAAGGTTTGCTCTGGATATGCTTTTAGTATTGTAATATGTATGTTATTCCATAGAAGCATGTTGAAGAATGACCTTATGTATATATGTATGTATACTTTTTGTGTTATATATACATAAGTATCTGATTGTGTTTTCTTTGTTGCCGATGTTTGGCTTATGATTAACAAGATTTTCAATTTCATTTGATTCATTTAATTTGGATTTCAGGTTCTTCAGTCGGTGGTTCCAATTAAAGATGAAGAGGTTGTGATTGGACAATAAGAAGGTTATAGGGATGATCTCACAATTCCTAACAACTCAAATACTCCAAAATTTGCAACAGTGGTTCTACGTGTGCACAAAGTACATAATTTTTGTTCATAGGGTACATAATTTTTGTTCATATAGTACATTATTTGTGTGCATAAAGATTAGGTGTATATAGTACATTATCTATCTGCATCATAAGTAAACAAATACAGGATTGAATGATTGGAAGGAAAACTTGATGGTGGTAATTGACTGTTTTTTGTGTCAATTTGATAGTGGTAATAATTGAAGTATGTGCTCCATCTCAACTAAAAGCCTAAGCTGATAATTGGATTGCACATTAATGGCTATATGCTCACACGCCCCCTCACGTGTGCGGTGGGTTCCAAGCAACACGTGGAACGGTAAACCGGTAAACCGTAGTCGCTTATGAGTGGCGCTGAGATTCGAACCCAGGCTCTGATACCAAATTGAAGCATGTGCGCCATCTCAACTAAAAGCCTAAGCTAATAGTTGGATTGCACGTTAATGACTATATGCTCACACGCCCCCTCACGTGTACGATGGGTTCCAAGCAACACGTGGACCGATAAACCGTAGTCGCTTATGAGTGGCGTTGAGATTTGAACCCATGACCTTTGGTCTGGCTCTAATACCAAATTGAAGTATGTGCTCCATCTCAACTAAAAGCCTAAGCTGATAATTGGATTGCACATTAATGGCTATATGCTCACAGTAATTGACTATTAGGAAGAACAGTTGATATTGATATGTCTTAACCTATTTTGTAAATATTTTATTTTGTTATAAAAAGTTTATGTTATAATATTCAAATTACATTATTTCATAAATATTATCCCTACTGTACATTGTTATAGCATAAGGTACATTATTATAACCCTCAAATTATATTACCAAATCAAGTGTCGGGTCGTTCATGAATACATGTGAAATTAACAAGAATACGTTTATTAACTCATATGGTACATTATTTTAGAGCATAATGTACATTATTCTAACCCACATAGTACATTACCAAATCAAGTAATTGTATGGGATGCCGTATCCCCAATGAGGACGAGATGGGGAAAATTTTTGGAAATGGGGACAAAGAAGGGAAAACCCCTCCCCTTATTCACCGCCGGGACGGGGACGAGGTTGGTGTTTCGGGGATGGGGATGATGGTCAATTCATGAACATGTGACCTTAACTAAGATACATTTTGATAACTCATAGGGTACATTATTTTAAAGTATAAAGTACATTATTCTAACCCATAGAGTACATTACCAAAATCAAGTGATAGTCGGTTTATGAACACATGTGACCTTAGGAAGCATCCATTTTATTAACTCATAGGGTACATTGTTTTAGAGCATAAGGTACATTATGTTAACCCACAGAGTACACTACCAAATCAAGTGATGGTAAGTTCATAAACACATGTGACCGTAATAAGGATACATTTTGTTAACTCATAGGATACATTATTTTAGAGCATAAGGTACATTATTCTAACCCACCGAGTACATTACCAAATCAAGTGATGGTCAGCTCATGAATACATTTGACCTTAACAATGGAACATTTTATTAATGCATAAAACAAAAAAATATGTTCATAATCGATCAAGTGCAAATACTTTTTGTAATAACTCACAAAGCAAAAAACAAGTTCATAATATGTCGAGTGCATATATAAATAAACAAAATTAGTGCAACTTCTTCTAATTATCATTTGACTTGTTTTGAGACTTAGACCTAAAACAAACCAATTATGAACTAATATTGCCACTAGGATGAATTAGATACCCACTACCAACAATATCATAAACAATTTACTGCACAGAAATTATATTGGACTATAGCCTGTGTTAAATTCAACTGTCTTTACATGATTCTTCCGGCTTCTTGCTTGGTTATACCTTTTTTGTACTGCACTAATTAGCCCTGGATTACGGTCGCCTTTCGCACCACTTCGTAAAGGACTTTGTATACCACCACTTTCCAAGGATCTTTCAAAGTCATCAAAACAAATAGGACCAACCTCACCTTCAATCTTTCTTCTATCACCTTCAATCTTTCTTCTAGTGAATATCAGATTTCTAAGTAGATGGGGGTGTGGTGCACTTAATAAATCCAGTCATACTCTACAAAGAAATAAGATATCCACTAAAAGAATGATCTGAATACACAATAGAAAGTATACATAAATGATGCATTAAAATAATGTACCATATGGATTAAAATAATGTTCCTAATGCATATAAATAATGTACCTCAGTCAGAAACACAATATGTACAGCAGAATGTACACATAAATGATGCATTAAAATAATGTATCTTATGTATTAAAATAATGTACCTCAATCAAAAATACAATATTAACTTGAAATGTAATGAATGATCTACATACTATATCAGATCATAGCTTAGCAGAAAGACTGAGTTAGTTGGAAAATTAATTAGTATTCATCTTAGCTTCTACATAGAAAAAGCTCAAATGCATATTGTGTTGAATTTGCAGGTGAGGGAAAATAAGTAAATTAAAATGACCATGCATATTGTGTTTATAGAGAGATAAAAGAACTGGAAACTTGTTGGTAATCAGGTTATGGAAACGATGGAGATGCACGAAGAAGATGTCGAAGACGATGTCGAAGATGCGCGAAGAAGACGTTCCGAATTTATTTTTTTAAAGATGTGCGACGTGTGTCGCGCATCTAACTTTAACTTTTCAAGTCAGATCTTAGTTTTCATGTGCACACAAGGGTTCCAATCTAAACTTTTTATCATCCTTGGGCTTTGGGCTGGATTCGAACCCATACACCGCCCTAGGGCAACATTATTTAACTTTGGAATAAGGTTCAAATTGGCCACTGAACGTAACCTGAAAATGCAATTAGGCCACTGAACGAAAAAAAGATGCATAATCATATGAAACAATTAGAACGGTATAAGATATGTGTTTAAAGGCAAGGCAGCTCAAGCAGTCCTCAACCTTATATTAGCCATTAACCATTTAATCATTTCTATTGCTATTTAAGCGGGGAATGGCACATAGTCCCTAAACGAAAGTGCAACCATAAATTATTGTTGTAATCTCTATCCCAATACCCTCCAAGACCATCTATATAATGCATTGCTCAACTCCATTTCCCTCAAGCCAACATCGAGGAAACATTATATTGTCTAGCTTGGAAGGGCACAGTACAGTCTTTAATAAAATAAACACACAATAATATAATTATTGTACCCTTTCTTCCCAACATGGATTCTTTAACCAATGTTATGGTTTCCCTTGTGATTGGCAGTCTTTTATGTTTCCTGACGATGGGTTCACCATCCACAGCCTCTCCTTTAAACGTCACGCTAATCCAAAAAGCCTGCAACAATACCGCCGACCACGAGTTCTGCCTCGACCACCTCTCCAAAAACCCCTTAGTCGTGTCGGCATCTCAAGAGCCATTGGCGATTGCCGCTGCGATCGCCCAGTCGGGATTGGACAACGCGGAGCGGACGCGCAAGTACGCGATGAACAAGGTCGCGAGGATCCCCGCCGTGAAGACGGCCTACGCCGACTGCGCAACGCTCTTGGGCAGCACGGCCTTGCAACTCAGTGTGGCCGCCAGCATCCTTAAAAACCCCGCCTCTTTGACCGAGGTGGGCTCCAGCGAAGTCGCTAGTGAATGTCTTCTGACCTCCATTGACGGTGTCGCCGGGTGTATGGCAAAGCTTGGAACCCTCAAAGTTGAGGACCAATATGTTATGGTATCGTGTAAGCAGGTGGAGGTTTACAGCGTCGCGGCCGACTCCATTTTGACCGACTTGATGAAGGTCAATATGAACAACTCATTCGATCATATGGATTGAGCGACGTTGCTACATTCTTGTAATCCATGTACATAATGTGCTGTGGTTCGGTATTATTAAATTATGAATGGAAATTAATTTGCTCCTAATTTAATGGGCAAATTATTGTGTGGACCATGGTACACACAATGTTATGCTGACCATAACAAAAAGTACATTTTTAATATACTAAATGTACATTATTTTTGTACTAAATGTATATTACACAATATAATGTACACTCAGAACAAAAATAATGTACATCTCCTAAATACAATGTACATTATTTTTGTACTGAATGTACATTATTTTACAGTAGATAAAAAATGTTCCACACAAGTTGTGTGGACCATGGTCCATACAATAATGATTGAAATTAATGAGGATCAAGTTCAGTGAAATTGTAAATGTGTTTATATGTCCCTTTAAAAACGAACCTAACTGAATTTATGTCACTTTAAAAACTGAACCGAATCGAATCGAATAAGAGTTTGGAGTTGACACGTCTGTCACTCCCACTCATTAAAATAGTGAAAATTAGTCATAGAAGCATTCCAACAACTTAGAGAACAGACCAAAACTCTTAAGTTCATAAATTTGAAATGTTAGACATACATCATTAGAGTCCATAAATTTGAAATGTTAGACATACATCATAACTTCTCAGGTCCATCTCAAAATGAACTGAACATTATGAGTCCAATCGTTATACCCTACACCACGGCGCACATAGCACTGTGCGTCGCGCGCCTCCCAAATCGACGTCGTTTTGGGGTCGTTTTGGGAGGCGCGGTAGGAAGTTGCTGGGATTATGTGTATTTGTTCACACAGTTATGTGTATTTGTTCACACAGTTATGTGTATTTGTTCACACAGTTATGTGTATTGGTTCATACAGTTTTGTACATTTTTTATATAATTATGTAGATTCTTTTTATACAATTATGTACATCCGAATCAGAAAATTTGTGTGTATTATGTTAATAGTTGATGTGTATTATGTTAAAAGTTTATGTTTATTATGTATTATGTTAGATTATGTGTATTTTCTTTTAAAAAGAGTATGTATATTTTGTTATATAATTATGTACATTCATGTATACAATTATGTGTATTCTAGTATAACATTATGTACATTCTTGAACATCGGGTTTTTTTTTAAAGAGAAAACTACTGCCATTC